TAGGGTCCAGGAAGTTTCCAGGAGTCATTGAATTGAAGGGGTGTGCACACATACAAACACATTTCATAAGCGTGACTAGGCCATAGTAGAAAAAAGAAAAACATGTAGTTGTATCTCATATATACAATAAAAGAGAAATCACCCCTAGCAAAATCTGAACAGACCTCAGATTTGATCCGGCTTTTTGCAGAAACAGTTCAAATTTTTACCTGAATAAATTCCAAATTCCAGCTTTGCCTTTGAATTCTGTCTGGAAACAAACTTAACTGTAATATTGTTATTGTAAAATGATACCTATTTGCCTTTAGAGCTGCAACCATAATAGCAAAAATTAATATAAAATAAACAAAGCTAACCAAATTCTATATGACTTAGATTGTTTCCTTGCTTATGTTATTTTGTTTTCATTTTTTGTTTTCGTTCTATGTTATTCTGCTATTTCAATATTTTTATACTTTATGTAAACTGTCATGATTGAGCCAGATAGCATAAAAATAATATAAATAAATAAATCTATCCAAGAACTGTAACTGATCTAAATCCAATTTAATTCTTTGTTTTTTGGGGGAAATCTATAGTGTCAATGCCACAAAAAAATTGTGAAAGGTCTTGCCAGTCTTAAAGATTGATGATTCTCCTTTTTTATTTACCATATCAATTTACGGCATGCTATAAATTACCTAATATTCTTTAGTATTTCCTCGCATGTAAAATCTCATTGTATAAAGCTGACATAAAGCTCTGCATGAGGTTGTTCTGAAATATTTCAGTGAAACTGATTTGAAAGCATTACCGTGTTTCCCCAAAAATAAGACAAGGTCTTTTCTTTTGACCCCTGAAAAAAGCACTTGGCCTTATTTTGGGGGAGGTCTTATTGTTTTTGAGGTGCAGGAGGCAGTGGGCATGGTCACCTCTTGGCTGCTGCTGTGTTGCAATATTTTCAGGGGGGGTTATTTTCGGGGGACAGCTTATTTTAGTGCATGTGCTCAAAAGTCCGATTGGGCTTATTATCCAGGGAGTTCTTATTTTTGGGGAAATGGGGTAATATATTTTGCGTATTGATAAATTATTTTTATAAATATTTGAACCTCTCCTGTTTAAGGGATTTGCATTTCTTCTTGAAAATTGAATTGGATCAATCTAAATAGTATTTTTGTTTTATTTAAGAAATTTGCCTAATTATGGGCAAAATTTGAAACTTTCTCTCCTGCATAATATCCTTTTAAGCTGAAGGAGTAACATACTAGCTAAAACAAGCCCACCAGAATCTTCTATAGTTATTTGATTAAGGTAAAAAAGCTATTTAAAACAAAGCATTTTAATTATTCTTGAATCCCAGTCTCTCAATACCAATCTTGTTACATGTTAACCTCTCTGTCATTTTAAGTAAAATACAGTACTAAAAATCTGAATATACATCAGACAGTTGTCTTTCCATACTCCTATGTCCCTAGCTTCAGTCCCCCCCCCCCAACTCCTGTCAGTATCTTTATCCTGGGACAAGCAGCAGCATTAATGCATTTGGGGGAGTACCAAGTGATCATGTATATCACGAGAGGATTAGTGTTTATATCCAACCATTTCTTATACTCTTAAAATCAAATGTTCCTCAGTTAATATTGTATATAATTGGGGAATATTTAAATTGCTTTTAAAGGCGTTAGTCTACTTATCTACTTTAATTTAAAATTAAATTTAAAATTAAATTTAAATTCAAAATGAGTAGTTTAGAGATTTTAAGAAACCACAATTACAAAACAGTATCAAAACCATGTTTTGATGGTCATTTACAAGGTAAAAGGTTAGTTCACTGTGATTACATTTGTTAACTGACAGTCAGATTGGTCTAATGTAGGGGTGTCAAACTCAATTCCATTGAGGGCTGCATCAAGTTTGTGTTTGACCGGGGGGGGGGGGGCATGGCAAGCTTGATGTCATTCATCAAGGCTCCATTTTGGGCTACAACAGCCTCCTGCAACCATCTGCCAAATAAAAACAGAGCTCAGGAGGGCTGCATGTGCCTCCCCCCCTCCCCCGAATTCCATTTTCGCTAGCAAAGGATTGCAGGAAGGTGTCGCGGCCCAAAACGAAGCCCAGGAGGACTGCATGCCCCCTCTTGTTCTTTGCCAAATATGCAAATTATTATAAAATTAAAATTAATGTACTGCTTTTACAGAGTCATGCGTAGTTGAATCAGTAGATTTTAAATCACAACCATGTATTAATACATTTGTTTGTTTATTTATCATACATCCTGTGCATCTCTTTATAATGGATTAAGTCCAGGTATTGCACAAATGGGAGGTTCCTTCTGCTTATGGAAATGAATTTATTTCAGTAGAATCTGTCGTTCAGATAATTAGTTGCTAAAAAGAGAGCACTTTTAGTTCGTTCCCCTCTCTGCTTGCAGCTCCCAGTTACCTCCATGTTGTTCCAGCAGATTTTTGAAAGCCTAAAAGGGTTGCTGTGGAAAGAAGGGATCCCTTTTCTGCCTGTAGCAGTTTGCAGATATTTTCCTTGTGCTATTGTGGATCTAATTTCTTGTATCTCAGACAATATTTGAACAGGGCTTCTTTTTTAAGTTTTATTCTGAACTTAGAACAGAAGAGATACTTGGAACTTTCTACTTCAATCTTTTGGGTGTTTTGTTGGAACAAAGACTGCTAGAACAAATGTTAAAAATCTTTCCAGTGTTCTGACATGGAGAATAATGGGGATGGAAAACACACTTCTTTATTATTCAACCTAGGCCACTAAAGTAAATTCCTGACTGCTAACTCTCACCCAACCTACAGACATTTTGGCCAAGACAATGTATGTTTATGCAAAATTAATATCCTCATAGCAAGCAGTGACAGCAAATGCTAATTGGGGTGGGTAAGTTGAGTTTTGTTTTTATTTTATTTTTTTGGCATGCAGACCTGCACAAAAAGTCCACAAGTTTGAGTCCACTAATTTGTCAGGCCCAAAACCAAGAATGGCGTGTTTTTTTTCCAAGCTGAGTTATTTATTGTTTTTACACCAATAGGCAAAATCTTGCCAGACTCAAGACTCTACTGTCCACATCTACAATATACCCTATGAACTATTAGGGAGAGTCTGTCTATCCTCTTTCTCTCATACACAGTATTTGTACTGAGTTGCCTCTTACTTCTCTGGAATGCACTCCTTCTCTTCTGGGAATCCACCTCTTTACTACATTCCATTACAGTAATGAAGCAGCAATAATTGAGTCACTTCAGCATAGCTCATTACAGTAGTAAAATTATGCATACTGGCTTGAGGCTTCTTTATAATGTAAATGTGTAGTGTGCACTTGTATTTAACAACATGACAGCTCAGCATCATAGCAAGCTTATGTATAATGCACATATACTGTAAATGGTGAGCAAGAGTTATCTTTTATGCAATTTTAGATTACTTCAAATTCTTTTACCTGACCCCAGACTGCACTCTACATTACTTTAATGAGTGGCCAAGAATAATAATTAGAAAAAATTAAGGTGAAAGAACTATTGCCTTGGTAGGAAATAGTTAACAATGAATCTAAATGTTCAGGTCCATCTGCGATCTCCAATTTATGCCAGGGTACGAGGCTTCATCCACAGACAGCAGAAATCGAACTTGTGCCTGCTGTTTTAGTGGTAAATGCATTCTTCAAATTTCCATGGCTTAGAACAGGAGTGGGCACATAACTAAGATCAATCAGAAGGGTCGCATGAGAAACTGAAACTGTTGTTGACGGTTTAACCAATAGGGCTGTGAAGGTGAATAGGCACGCATGTAGGTACGCATACACATACATACATTGGGGAGGGAATAGTAATTGCCTTCAAAGTAAAAGCAATACAGTTGTATTGTGCACATTATTTATATTCTATTTTTAATTTCCAATTGATGTAACGTCAACCGGACAGGGACAACCAAAGGACTGGATTATGACCTGGAGCTGGTAAAATGCCTAGGTCTGGCTTAGAATATTTTTGTAAACCAATTATGGGGAAATGGAACATTGGAGAAACAACATAGAACAAAATATGTCATTTTTATCCTGAGCTTGATCATAACTTCAGAAAAGGAATTGACTATGCCTGTTACTTTTTATATATATATACTTTAGTTTCTTTTACTTATACAGGTAGTCGTCGACTTGCAACAGTTCATTTAATGACTATCCGAAGTTACAACATCACTATAAAGTGCCTTATGACCATTTTTCACACTTAACAACCATTAAAGCAACCCCATGGTCAGGTGATCAAAATTGGCAACTGACTCATATTTATGACGGGCCTGACTCCCTTTTGTGACCTTCTGACAAGCAAAGTCAATGGGGAAACCCAGATTCATTTAACAACCGTGTTACTAATTAAACAGCTGCAGTGATTCACTTAATTGTGGCAAGAAAGGTCATAAAGTCAGACAAAATTAACAACTATCTCACTTTGCAAGATAAATTTTGGGCTCAATTGTACCAAGGATATGTGTTGTTCTCTGACTAGAGGTTGCATTTAACTTGCACTGATTGATGGATCGAATTTCTGTCCCACCTATCTGTTTTTCAATAGTCAAGGCAGCTTGCATAAATAAACTGCTATGAATTGATTCCAAAAAGAAGATCTTCTATTTCATTTTTACATGGTTTTAACTAAAATTCCATACAGTGAAGATGGTTACTTTCCTGTCATGGTGCTTAGGCCTTAGTTTAAGGATTTCTGTCTTAGATTTTTGTTGTTGAAATGAATTGAAAGTTAATGTTTAATTAAACTGCTATCTTAAACACTTTATATATTTTTTAAAAATTAGATCAAGTTATACAAAATTAAACATAAAATTACATTTTATTTTATTTTATAGATGCATCTTATAATTCTAGATCTCTTAAACTGAGAGGGGTTACTTGAGAGCTTTACTAATCTGTGCTTTGCTGACCAATTGAATGAAGTTGAATATGCAAGCCATACTAATCCATGTACTTACTGTTTGAATGTTTGGTACAGGAAGCGAGCAGCTGCAAAGCATCTAATAGAACGCTATTACCATCAGTTAACTGAGGGTTGTGGAAATGAAGCCTGCACGAATGAATTTTGTGCTTCCTGTCCAACTTTTCTGCGTATGGATAACAATGCAGCAGCCATTAAAGCCCTCGACCTTTATAAGATTAATGCAAAACTCTGTGATCCTCATCCCTCCAAGAAAGGAACAAGCTCGGCTTACTTAGAAAATAATTCCAAAGGTGCCCACAACAACGCCTGCACTGACAGAAAAATGAACAAGAAGGAAATGCAAGGTCCAAGAGATGACTTTAAAGGTAAGCATTACAGAATGTTCAGCAAGGATGCAACATTGGATACAACTTTGTATAGTCTGCATTGTTTCATACAGCAGAGCAACTTATTATCTTGAGTATATATCATAATACAGATAGTCCTCACTCAATGATCATTTATTCAGCAACTGTTCGACATTGCAATAGCGCTGAACAAAGTTACTCACAACCTCCATTCAAATCTGTGGATTCTGCAGTCACATGATTATGATCTGGATGCTTGGCGATGGATGTGTTTGCGCTTATGACAGGTCACCAGGTATCCTGCAATCATGTGATCACCAGTTGTAATCTTTCTTGTGGCTTTCCCAGAAAGTCAACAGGGAAGATCACAACCAGAGATGGTATTCAGCCTGTTCAGACCAGCTTGCCTGAACCAGTAGTGCAAATTATGGGTGGGCCTGCCCCGGCTCCAAAATGTCCTATGTAGCCTTGTTTTCAAGCCGTGGGCATGCGTGCTAGCCACACGCGGAATCAAAGTGCATGTGCGGACGGGGTGCAAGTGCAGTGAGCGACCATGCACTCACATTTGCAAACCGATAGGGAAAGTAAGTGAATACCACCCCTGGTCACAGCATACTGCCATTTATACGCTTGCTGAAAAAAATCTGTCCGGAAATCCAAGATTGGATTTCTGGATAAACCTTTTTCAGCCAGCCTCCTTAAGTCCAAAAAGGCTACTTAACAGACTCCAGTCTCCAGCAAATATTGGTTTTGCTGCCTCTTTGAGAGCAAAAGCATTGCTTGACAGACTCAGGACCCTTCATAGGCAGCATTTTTGCTCTTAAAGTAACTGGGGGGGAAAGTCCATTTTCATCCAGCCTTTTTGAGAATAAAAATGCTGTCCTCTGAAGAAACTTTGCCCCAAACAGAGTAGAATCCCTCTTGCAAATAACATTTTTGCTGTCAAAGAGGCTGAATAAAAATGGAGGGTTTTTTACCCAGCTTTGAGAGCAAAAGCACAGCCTAACAGATTGATTTCATCCTGGGTAGGATGAAGTCTGGCCAGCGGGCAGGAGAACTGAAGCGCTAGGCTGAAGAAGATAGCAATACGAAGAAAGTCAGGATGCAGTTCTAAAGTTGGGTCAGATCACATGCCAATCACCATTACCAAAATTACCATAATTTCAGGCTCAATTATAATCATAAATCAAGGATTACATATAACTGGAAATAACCCTTAGAGATGTTGATATTTTTTTTATGTTAACAAAAAAAATCCTCTCATTCTGGCATAATTTTAAAAATATATGTATATATCAGGTTGAGATCATTTATTCCTCCATTCAGAATTTAGAACCAGAATACTTTTAAAAGTTTGTAAAGGGTGAACTTAATTAACAGATGTAAGGTATAGAGTTTTTGAAAGTAGGAAAATAAGTTGTGCGTTCTGATTGCAGAAACTGTTAATTACTGTTGAAGGTTGTAAATAGTCATTCTTTTAATGCCTTTTATGTAAATGTATTTAACTTGACTTCAATAATACTTTTGGTTTTGTTTTTAAATATCTAGATGTGACTTTTTTAACAGAAGAAAAAGTATATGAAATTCTTGAACTATGTAGAGAAAAAGAAGACTATTCTCCCTTAATCCGTGTCGTTGGGAGAGTATTTTCTAGTGCTGAGGCTTTGGTACAGAGTTTTCGAAAAGCCAAGCAGCATACTAAGGAAGAATTGAAGTCTTTACAAGGAAAAGATGAAGATAAAGATGAAGATGAAAAAGAAAAGGCTGCATGTTCTTCTGCCATGGAAGAAGATTTAGTTGCACCATCCTCATCATCATCCTCGTCATCAAGAATGGGTGACAGTGCACAGGGGGATAACAACCTGCAAAAATTAGGCCCAGATGAAGTATCTGTAGATATCGATGCAATCAGACGGGTCTACAATAGATTACTTTCTAATGAAAAGATAGAAACTGCCTTTTTAAATGCACTTGTGTACTTGTCACCCAATGTTGAATGTGACTTGACTTATCATAATGTGTACTCTCGAGATCCTAACTATCTCAACTTGTTTATTATTGTTATGGAAAATGGTAATCTTCATAGTCCTGAGTACCTGGAAATGGCACTACCGTTGTTTTGCAAAGCAATGAGTAAGCTCCCCCTTGCAGCTCAAGCAAAATTGGTCAGACTGTGGTCAAAGTACAGCGCAGACCAGATTCGACGAATGATGGAAACTTTTCAGCAGCTTATAACCTACAAAGTCATAAGCAATGAATTCAATAGTCGTAACTTAGTAAATGATGATGATGCTATTGTTGCTGCTTCAAAGTGCTTAAAAATGGTTTACTATGCAAATGTAGTAGGAGGAGATATAGACACAGATCACAATGAAGAGGAGGATGAAGAGCCTATCCCAGAATCTAGTGAATTAACTCTACAAGAACTCCTGGGTGAAGAAAGAAGAAATAAAAAAGGACCTCGGGTAGACCCTCTGGAAACTGAACTTGGCGTAAAAACTATAGATTGCCGAAAGCCACTTATCCTCTTCGAAGAGTTTATCAATGAACCACTGAATGATGTTCTAGAAATGGACAAAGATTATACATTTTTCAAGGTAGAAACAGAAAATAAATTCTCCTTTATGACATGCCCCTTTATACTGAATGCCGTTACCAAGAACCTGGGATTGTATTATGACAACAGAATCCGTATGTACAGTGAACGTCGTATAACTGTCCTTTACAGTTTAGTTCAAGGCCAGCAGTTAAACCCATATTTGCGACTCAAAGTCAGACGTGATCACATCATAGATGATGCGCTTGTTCGGGTAAGTGACTTGATATATAAAACATCTATTGCTGTTTAAAAAAATAGAGAAGTCTTAATTTTTTATTAATATTCTTTGGGGTCTTCTGGACATATTCAAAATGTACCTTAAACATTATTTACATACTAGATAGAGTTTCTGACCAAAGAACAAAGGTTTTGGTGCAGTAGAATAAAAACCATTCCATAATCTGTTTGGTTTCTTTAAGTATAAAACAGTATTCAAATTTAACTGGAAAAAATTGTTGATAGCTCTTGTTTGATCAAGACCAAAGCAATTCGCTATAAACGTTTCTAGAGTATTTTGTTTTAATTATTGAAACAAAATTTAAGCATTTTGAAGTTGACTTTACAAGGATGAAATAATTGCACTACATATTTTTTTTTAAAGATAAGTTTGGAATATATACAATAATAGCTATGAATTAACATATCATGATAACCCCATCATATTGATGTATCCATGGACAATGATACAAAGAGTAAAAAAAGAAAACACTACCATCTTTGGAAAATGTATTTTTTAGTTCAGGAAGTTATTGTTCTTTTTTCAGTGTTTTTTTCAATTATTGCCTTTTTTATATTGAGCAAGTGCTACAGTTTTATTAAATCATGAATATTGCCAGTTAATAGCTCAGATGGAGTCCTTAAATTTTAATTGTTTAAGACATTATATTTGACTTAGCTGATTTTCATTTAATTAATTCCTATATGTTTAAAAAAACATTTTTTCCATTTTGCAATGCAGTAATACAGTTAATTCTCTGAAAATATGAATTTAATAGGTTAAAACATAAATTGCTGATACTGTGTTAAGCAATTGTTTAATTAACAGGCTAAATTGTTTAGTGTCACATATTATGTTGATCCACATATAAGTCATCTAGCTATTAGTCATTAGAATATGTTGAAATCAAGATTCTCAAGAGAATTCCTTTTCCCAGGGAAAACTTTACATTCCTTTTAAATGGTGCATTCATGGAAAAGGAGCACCAATAGTAGAATATGCAAAACAAAAAAAGTATTTGCTTATTGGTATTTTAATACATGATTGATCCCAGATGCTTCAGACTAATTGGGTATATCCTGAAATTCATTGTGTTTCTTGTAGCATACAGGTAGTCCTCAACTTACAACACTTCATTTAGTGATCATTCAAATTACAACAGCAAAATGTGACTTTTAACTTTTTCACAGTTACAACTTTTACAGCATCCCCATGATCATGTGACCAAAATTCAGATGATTGGCACCTGGTTCATATTTATGACCAGTGCTGTGCCCCAATGTCATCTTATCATCTTTTGCAACCTTATGACAATCAAAGTCAATGGGGAACCAGATTCACTTAACAACTGGGTTACTAACTTATCAAGCACAGCGATTCATTTACCAATCGTGGCAAGAAAAGTCATAAAATGGGGAAAAGTTCAGGAAAGGACAACACGTACTTTCCTGAAATACTCCTCAGCCCAGTGTGAAACATTGAGTAGGGGGATGAGGGGAAAAAAGTCATTCTGGAGACTTTCATGGTGGTAATGAATGCAGAAATCTCTCCCCCTCTCCCTCCCTCCCTCTTTCCCTCTCCCTCCTTCCCTCTCTCTCTCCCACTCCCTCACTCCCCCCTCTCTCTCTTGAAAGGTAACCCCAGAGTGAAGATTAGTGCAAATAGTGACACCACAATTCGATTCTCACTCTTTGGCAGTTATCTGAAAAACAGTTTACAAAGCAAGTTACTATTTTATATGTCCTTGTTCCACACCAGTCTCACTGAAATGTCACCCATGTGGTGTTTTTCTACTATGCTTCTAACCCTTACGTTTCAACCCAGTTAATTTAATTGTATGCTTCTCAACAAGGTAAGCCAAAAACAGGTTCGTTGTGTATCCCTTCCCTTGTAAATTCATTATGACCCTATTCTCTGTGGCAGAGTAAAATTATATTATAAAAACCTATTGTAGCTATTCCCCCAAAATGAAGTCGCAATGTTCTCAGTATGGACTTTAGAAAGATGTTTTTAAGCTTTGGCATTGTGTCTTTTGATGGTTGTAAAATTACATTCATGTTCAATGATATGCACTTACTGAAAGATTATTTTATTTCTCACCCTGTAGTTAGAAATGATTGCAATGGAAAATCCAGCTGATTTGAAAAAACAGTTGTATGTAGAATTTGAAGGAGAACAAGGGGTTGATGAAGGAGGAGTTTCCAAAGAATTTTTTCAACTAGTTGTAGAAGAAATCTTCAACCCCGATATTGGTAAGTAAGTAATTTTCATGGTTAGTGTTAATTGCACTCCTCACTATTTTTTCACTGCATGTTCTGTGATTAAAGTGTTGTGCCAAGACTGAAGATGCCCTACCTCAAGTCTATCCCCTCTCATGGAAATTTGCTGGATGAGGGCCACACTCAACCAGCCCAGCCTTGCTGTTCTGAGGAGAAAGTGAATGAAGATCTCCTTGTAACCTAATTTGAGCTGATTTGGGGCAGGGAAGTGAGATAAAAATCTACCAAGTAAATAAAGCATTTATCCAGGATATAATTGGGTGGAATCTGCTGACCTAAAATTAAAATGAAATTGACATAGTTTCATGCAATACCCAAATTATTGAAATACCTTTAAGTTTTTATATTATTTTATGAGTTTGGCGCCAATATTTGTTTAGATGTTTAAATATTTATATTAATCAAACACACGTACTGTGTGAAATCACATGGTCCTGATTACTACCTAAATTGATTGTTGATTCCTGCTGGGATTGAATGCTTTTGTTTTGAATCTATTTAATACAGAAAATGGAAATTATTCATTTTGTCATCTCAGAAAAGTCAATCATCAGTGATGATTGGGTTTTGTTCAGATTTTAAAAAAAATCTACTTCAGTAAAATTACATAATATCCTTCTTAAAAAGATGCATACGATTTTTGCCTGTAAAAATGCACATAAAATGTCTCCTTCAGCAGAAATATCTTGCACATTCAATGGTGGTTACAGTTTAATATTTCCCTGAAATGTTAGAAAAACTGTGCAAGTTGTTTTTGACATAGGGATTTTAAAAAGGAATTTTATTTCATGCTCTCTTCCATTGTGCTTTGCATATGTATGCAAACGTTTGGAACATTTCTACTATATTTTTTTTCTGAATCTAAATAGTGTTAAAGATACACACAAAAGTCATTTATTATTCTTGATAAAAGCCTGAACTCTTGGTTGTTTTCTCTCACTACTCAGCTTTTAAAGTTCTGTTCATTTTAAATGAATATTAAGGAACAATGGTGGCTTTATCATTTTGAGCTTTCATATAAAGTACAGATGTCTATTTAATGTGCTGAACAGTATATTGTGAATTAAAATGACTAAATAACACATGGAATTTAAAAGTGAAAAATTGATAATCAGAAAATGTCTAGTTACTGAACCTAACCTCATTAAATCTGAAATCCTGTAACTTTTTTTATATAGGAATGTTCACTTACGATGAATCCACAAAATTGTTTTGGTTTAACCCATCCTCTTTTGAAACTGAGGGACAGTTTACACTGATTGGGATTGTATTGGGCCTGGCTATTTACAATAATTGTATTCTGGATGTCCATTTTCCAATGGTTGTCTACAGGAAATTAATGGGCAAAAAAGGAACTTTCCGTGATCTGGCAGACTCTCATCCTGTAAGTCCTTTAAAGATTTCCTACTGTTTGGAAGTCTGCACTTCAGTGTTGTTATATTTTAAACCTGGTGACACTATAGTATATTCTGAATATTCACCTTTGGATGAGTGTGTACATCTCTTATTTTTAATTTAGAAAACTTGGGAAATGAGGATCAATATTGTCTCAGAATTCCGTAAAGAAGTAATAATAATTTGCTGAGATAGTATCTGACACTGCATTTATACAAGCTATCAATTATATGACTGCTAATGTGGATTTTAAGAATGTTAGTATAAAATAAGATTTGTACACATCTAATAAATATACTCTAGAACTCTGCTAATCTTGAAAAAGATGGCCACACACTGTTATTTGTCTGAAACAGAATTCAGTATCTGCAGACTTAATTTATAAAAACACTGCCATGACCTGCAGTGATGTGGCTATGAAATGTATAATGTGGATGTCTTAACTGACAAAGGTTCTTTGTTATTTCTTTTTAAATAGCTGTGTAATCTTAACATTGCATACTAGGCTTGTTCCAAGTGATGGACGTTAGCAGAGGATGACATAGCAAAGCCACATTTTGAGGAGAGAACAGGTCCCAGATTCATTAGCTTCTGAAGCATAATTAGTTGTGATCAAGTTATCAGTATGCTCCCAATATTGCATAGGTTTTTAAATGAGGAAAAACTGTGGTATCTGATTAGAGGAATGGTGATGAGTGATTTAAATTTTTAACTTTTTCAGCCAAATTTGCCATCTTTTTCTAGCTATCAGAAGCAATATATTTCCAGGATATGAAAAACAGCTTTTAAAGTGTAGTTTGTTAAAACAAGGCATCCTTTGGGGAAAGAAACAAATTAAGGCACTTCCTTCTTTTCTCATCCAATTCTCAATCTCCAACAGTTGCTTTTAATATTCAAATAACTGTTACAATTAGATACCTACATCTAGCTTGGTTCTTAATGTTTGTACACATTCTATGCATCAGGCTTCTTGTGCTTTTTAAGGCTGAATGAAATATATTTACTGTTTTAGGTTCTCTACCAGAGCTTAAGAGACTTGTTGCAGTATGAGGGAAGTGTGGAAGACGATATGATGATAACCTTCCAGATATCTCATACAGATCTCTTTGGTAATCCAATGATGCATGATTTAAAGGAAAATGGAGATAAAATCCCTATTACAAATGAAAACAGAAAGGTAATATAATATGGCTGCCACCAATTATACAGTGATTATCTAAGTAAGTGGTATTCTAAAACTGCAAAGATAGCATATTGAGTAAATACATTCTGCAACCTGTTTGTATTATGCAAATTAATTTTTTCAGGATCTTTGCTTATATGATTTGCTTATATGATTGAATACTATAATGACCCATGCCATAGTAGGGACAAAAAGTATATAGAGCACTAAAGTCTGCTCCCAACCTTTCTTTAACCATTCAAAGTATTTCCATAAGCTTTCAACTAGAGTTTCATAAGAGCTAGAATTTTGTTTCAGATAAGTGAAGTTTGTGCCTGACTAGAAGCTGAATTTCTCTGATGTTTCTAGCTGCATTTCTGATGCATCTTGGTAATCATGATATACATTTATTTGGCTTTCTTTACAGGCATTGAGATTACAACTTTCAGTATTCCTAATTATTACCTAGAGTGCACTAAGTTGAGGAAAGATGATAATGGATATGTTCTCTAAGCTTGGATTTTCATTTATAGATATTTCATTACCTACTTAAATCCATCTTTAGTCCTGAAGATGTTATGGGAAGAGGGGGGGGAGGGAATTAAACTTCTGCCAATGAAAAACTAAGCCCAGAGAATCCTAGTGACCCAAACCTTCAGCCCTGAGCTACATATATTCTATATCATCAGAAGAATAGTATATAAGGAAAAGAACCATGAGTGCAGCCTGTGCTTTGATGTAAAATAAGGATTTGGGGTTTTTTTTTTTTTAAGCTAATATTTTTTTAATTTAAAAGTAAAATAAGAGAATGACAAATAATGTAAAAGCAAGTCAGGAAAGCACATCAGTAACATTGATTAAATGAATAAAAATGTATCTTGTATTAGATAGGGACTCCTTTGTTAAGAAATCGAAAGCCACTGTTCACTAGCAACTTAATAACTTCATTATATTTCAGCCTTGTAGAGGTGAATGATAAATAAAGAAAACATAAAATTCTTGTTTATGAAATAATCTGAAGTTTGTAGAATTCATAAAATCTTACAGATGTGTAAGTCTTAGAGCTACTAAACGAAAGGAAGTTCATATCTAGTTTGTGAGAGGATGGTGGGAAAAGCATAGTTCTCTTTATTTGAGACAAAGGCTCATACCTGACCTAGAAAAGAAGCTTGATGTTGTCGGCTTTTTTTTTTTATTAAACAGGAATTTGTTAATCTGTATTCTGACTACATTCTGAACAAATCAGTGGAAAAACAATTTAAGGCCTTTCGAAGAGGATTCCACATGGTAACCAACGAATCTCCCCTAAAATATTTATTTAGACCTGAGGAGATTGAATTGCTTATTTGCGGAAGTAGGGTAAGGCATTTTAATTGAATGGAATTTTTTTTACTGGTTTTGCTGTTGGTGCTAAATTGTGTAATGGTGATACAGTATATTCTATTTACAGAATCTTGACTTCCAAGCCCTAGAAGAAACCACAGAATATGATGGTGGCTACACCAGAGATTCTCTTATAATTAGGTATGGGGACTAAGCTTTTCTATGTACAGTTACAGAAAGGGGTACTTATATCTCCAAACAAGGAGATTAGCCAAATATGATACAGGTCTCAAAATTGTAAAAGAAAGGGGGAAACTTGAAAGCCTTCAATCTTTAGCTAGACTTTCAAACAAGAAATTTCAGGTGATGGGCATGGTTGCTAAAATAAAAGTAGTAAAAATTGGAGTGATCTCCATTTCCTGTTTTTCAAACTGCCATATCCTATAAAGCATCAGTTAACTCTGTAGGCATATATTGGAGTCACCATCAGTCTCTTTACACATTAAAAATTATTTTTTAAGTATCATGTATAAATAACTTATATTTCATAACTGCCTTGAGTGGCTGATACAATTTTGTTGTGTCGGCATAAAAAAGAGGGCCAAGACCAAGTTATCTCACCATTCCTGTATTTTCTACCAGCTAGCAGTATGTGCTTATTAGCATTTCAACACTCTTGGACTGTATAAAGGAGACATTAGACATCTCTTTTCTAACGAGTGAATAAAGCTTTCTTACTCTCAACTGAGTAACTTGAGAGATGTTTTACTGCATTGGTGTAAGCAAGCTATTTGCATCCCTCAAAAGACGGTAATAAGAAAGTCACAACTATTAAAGATGGAATCTGGTCATAGTAAAATCCATGTGAATATATGAGATACTCTGCTTATGCAGGCATCATAATTGACCTGTTGTAGTCTCCATGCATAGGGAGAGTTTAATTTTGACAGTCACTTTCATATAATTTTGAAGTACCCCAATCAATTATTCCTAAAAAGAAAATAAATCTATGCTGTTTTCTGCAACCCACATATTTTAGCTGGACTGATGTAACCAGATTTCCTTCTGTATAAGTTATTTTAGAGATTATGTCTTTAATGAGACCAAAAATTATATTATAATCTTGTGCCTATGGAGATTCTCAGTCATCCAGTTTGTGGTTGTCCCAAAGGTGCTTTTTCAAGAGGCAACTGGACTTTCAGTGAAGGTGTTTCATTTCTTATCCAAGAAGCTTTTTCAGCTCTAGCTGGATGTTGAGGAATGGAAGGATTTATACTCCTTGCAGACAGGTGGTCAAATGAGTATGAGCATGTTAGATTGTCTGCTAGGAGTCTAAATCCTTCCATTCCCCACCATCCAGTCACACTTGAAGAAGCTTCTTAGATGAGAAACAAAAACGTCTTCAAAGAAAAACCAGAAAATCCCATTGCCTCTTGAAAAAGCACCTTTGGGATGATTACAATCTTGTATTGGATACTTCTGAAGCAAATGTCAAAAGGCAAGTTTTATGCAGATTATCTCTAAGCAGTCATTTGTGTTATTTGTACTGCATAGTTTCTTTTTCTGTTTAATTTTTACTTCTGCAGGGAATTTTGGGAAATAGTCCATTCATTTACAGATGAGCAAAAAAGACTCTTCCTCCAGTTTACAACAGGGACAGACAGAGCGCCAGTAGGAGGACTTGGAAAACTAAAGATGATTATAGCCAAAAATGGCCCTGACACCGAAAGGTAAAGTCTTTAAAATTCAGAAATAGGTAGAAAATGTAGTTAAGCAATAGGTTTTCAACTTCATCCCAAATGAGGGTTACATAAACTCACCCATGCATTTGAATAACCCGATTCTTTAAAAAGTGAAAAATAAAACATGGCTAAAATATCAGTATTTCTTATGCTAAGCTAATTGAACTGTTTGCATTTCAAGACAATTCTGAGACTCGGTTCTTTTCTTTCTTCTCCAGGTTACCTACATCTCATACATGCTTTAATGTCCTCTTGCTTCCGGAATATTCCAGCAAAGAGAAACTTAAGGAGAGATTGTTGAAGGCCATCACATATGCCAAAGGATTTGGCATGCTGTAACGAATTAAATAAAAGGGATAAAACGATTGGTGGCAATGGTGTCCCTGTCCAAAAATCAGTAAGAGAAAACCCACAAAAGGCCATAAGCTTATAGCAAGCAAGCTACCGTAGTCACCTGTATTTGGGCCTCCCTTCTTCACTTGGGGACTCTGGGCTGGAACAGCAGATTTCAGCTGCTTCTATGAACAAATTATTTTCTTTTAGCGTGAAAGTGTTACATATTCTTTCACTTGTATGTACAGAGAGGTTTTCCTGAATATTTATTTTAAAGGGTTAAATCACTTTTGCTTGTGTTTTATTACTGCTTGAAGTTGAGCCTTTTTGAGTATTTACAAGAAAACAAAACTGTACTCTCCCAAGGAAAATATTGCCATCATTTGTAGATTGTGTAACCTTTAAGTATGTGCTACATTTTTGTCCCAGTTATCAAATCAAAATCGGGAACTGTACTTTTTGAACAGTTTTGCTTTTGAAACTTGAAGTCTTGGAAAACAAAATGGTGTGATGCAATGACTGCTGTTCTAGCCCCCAAAGACATTTGTGGAAAAGCATTAGAATCAATAAAGATGGAAGGGAGAACTTGGAATGTTAAATTACAGCCTTCAGACCTTTACTTTTAGCCACAGCACAACAATTAAACAAAAACTAAAAGTCATTTCATTATATACGTTGTCTTTCACATGTCTTGTTTTGTAATATCGGGTTTTTAATTAGCAAGATTTCTGGCCATATAGAAATGTGAGCGCAGTTAATTTCACCTTTTTTATTTTTAAGGAAAATATTTACTGGGAAAAATGGATTTCAGCCAAACAACTTTAGAATATAGGAAAATGTGGGGAAAATCATGTTGGGTCTATAAACAAAAGCATGTGAAGTGCACTTAAAAAGAAGCTATTGATTTATCTTACGTTGACATTTTAAATAGACGATTCAGTCTTCCCTGCAAGCTTTTTTAAAAAATGTACTGCTGTTTCTTTATCAAAGCATATGATCAGTGCTACAGCAAGGAAATGCTTTTTTTCCCCTCCTCCTCATCTAGCAACAGGGGGAAATGATTTTTAAAGGATACATTTGCATTGTAATACTCCAAGTTATTCCTTCAATGTATAGAAAGTAAATCCTAAATTCACTTCTCTCTTATACATGGCATATCATAAGTTCAGAATGTAAAACTTTTACAGAGCATCCCTACACACTGCTCATGGCTGCTATTACAGTATGAATAAAAGGATCATACATGCTTTATCAAGACAATACAGGTGGTGTTCCTCTCACTGTAAATGTCAGCTGATGTGTAGAAGTGAGCTTGTGCCTTGGTGATAGCTATTCCTGCAATTGGTGCAGAATTGGAATTAGTGAAAAAAGACTAAACTCTGAAATCCTTGAAAGAGGAATATGTCTTTCAGGATTGCTTTATTTTTTAAAACAATAGTAGTAGACACAGATAATTCTTCTGTTAATACAATGTCAAATAAAATAACAATGCTGGTTCAGTGACAAAGAAAAAAAAAGTCATGTTCTTAGTATGATATTAGGTCCAAATATCATTGGAATTTCTTGGTGAAGAAGAATAAAATCATAGAATAGAAAGACAGGGATAGAATCAACATGTGAAGTGTTAATACCACTTTATAAATCCTTGATAAAGGCGCACTTGAAATACTGCATCCAGTTTTGGTCACCACAATGTAAAAAAGATGTTGAGATGCTAAAAAGAGTGCAGAGAAGAACAAAGAAAAGATCCTCAGAATAAAAAAAATAATTATTCAATCAGAATAAAAGCCGACTACAGGAAGCTGATCTCTAGATATTGCTAAATGTCATACTCCTCAGTTTAGAAAACCGTGGAAATAATTTGCATAAAAACAAGCAAAAGTATTCCTTACGGCAGGGGTCCCAATCCCCATTCCATGGACCGGCACTGGGCCGTGGCATGCCAGAAACCAGGCTGTGCAAACAAGCAAAGCCCCATATGCAGAATGCCAGGCAGCACACGAAACCACACACCCTCAATCCATGGAAAAACCTCTCCATGGAACTGGTCTTTGGTGCCCAAATGGTTGGAGAGGGAGGGGCGCTGCCTTAAGACCTGAGAATGACACATTGGTGGTATATGAGCATGGAAAAGTAAAACATTAGCAGACTTCCAAGATTGATCTCAACTATTTGAGATAGACCAGCTTAGGAAACTGATTCCAAAGGAAGGCTAGGATTATACTAAATTGTTTAGGCGAAAGTCTTCCTGTGGGGATAGTTTCTGAGCTGGCCTACCTTGTAGAGATCATACCAGCAGCTGCCTTAAATTGCTGGGAATTTTCCCAAGTTCCGAGACCTCCGCTTGAGCTATAAGATCCATGTTAGATTCCATGTATGACAATTATGTGGCAAAGAATTATAATAGGTTAAAATTACATGGATTGCATGTAATACTGATTTAAACATTAACAACCAAGAAGTTATTTTGGGATGCACTAAAACTCTTGATTTTCCTTACTAGGCTCATGCAGTCTTAGATATTAAAAATATAAGGCTTCCATTTTAGTCCAATACCAGAAATTTCATCCTGGGATAAACTCAAGAGAGAATATATCTTGGAAATCAAGTTAGGAAAGCCATTTTCATTTGAATAGAGGACCAACATGGCATACATGGATTATGTGCCCATAAACATTTCTTCTGGGGCCAGCCTGCCCTGGACTTCTTTTCATATTAAGAGGGAGGAAAAGTGTACCAATTTCTGAGTGCCCTTAGTTTTCATTTTTCATTTCATCACAGGCCTATAAGTGTTCAAAAATAAAGTGACAAAAGTACAGGATAATTTTGAGATTCAAAAGAAGGTGTTGCATTCTTAGTGATCCCTGTTCTAGTACATTTGATGTAATAAATAAAAATTCACAGGCAAAGCCATTTAAATTACTATAAGAATTAATTCTTAACCTGTTTTTATTTACATAAATAACACTTGCATATTAACAGAGACAGAAAAATAATTATAGTAAATTGAAAATTTCTTGTTCCAAGAAATGGAGAGACTGAGAACTGATTACTACATCCAACCCCTTGCTTCACAAGTTTAATTTTGCATACAATCAAAAAACAACTATAATGTTCAATCATTTTAGAATTTAACAGCATCAAATTCTTTAAAATGATAAGAAAAAGCAGCTTGATGAAAAGGACACCAAGAGGATCCTAGCATTATTGTTATTTTTGCTAAATGGTCAGATCTGATTTAAATAAATGATTTTTTTAATATTAAAAGAATACTTTTGTAATCTATAATTAATGCCGCAGTTTAATTTTTGCTGCAAATTAAGCTCTCATATTTTAAGAAGCAATTGTACTTTTTTACAGTCATGGTGTTTAAATGCATGTTGATCTTCAGTATAAGTAATAAACTATTCTATACTTTTTCATGATTCAGGTTACCCAAATCAATACAATCTGAATGGTAACAAAGTGTAGAATAAAAGTTGATTACTTACACTGAAGATCAACATGCATTTAAATCAATTAATAGGAATATGGTGCAGAAAAGATAGGAAATGTCTGTTTCCACAAGCTTAAACTTTAAAAGTACATGATTTACACATATTTTTCATATTTATTAATCAAATGTATAGAAGATTGGTAAGGATCACTCTAAGATACAACAGTTAAGATCACTAACTTTCCCTGCCTGTTATTTACAGGGCAGGAATAGAAAACATTTGCAGAACATATTCCCAATATATACTTAGATTCTAGTAAATGATGAAGCACCACTTAAGAAAACTAAAAGAAGGATAGTCTGTTTTAGTCAATATTAATCCCAGAAGAGCTCTTAAACTTGGAAAGAAAATTGTCCAAGTCTTATTTTGTAATCATTTGATTAGGGCTATTATTCAGCCAATGTCTTTCAATGAAATTCTCTTCAGTAAGTAACTTATTGTAATATTCCCATATTAAAATATCTAATGGCCTGTCTTTTTGGGTGAAATCCATGTCCAGTTTCTTTATTGTAATGCTTCGATGGTTGATCTCTGTACCTACTGGATTCCATTTTCTCTGCTCCTGAGTGTTATCCCATACAAAATCCCGATTTATCTGACATTTCTGGTCTATCTGTTCCTGCAGTCTGTCAGAGTAATAGTCCTGTAAATGGCAGAGTCGTTCTTGTTTTAAAGTGGCAACTTTCTCAAGAAAGAGCTTGATCTTATCATTTAAAAAGTCATAATTGTGTACTTTAAAATTTTTAGTCTTGCTGTTGCATATTTCTAAATGTATGGAGTCCAAATTCAAGAAAAGACTCCTTGAATTTGGTCTCCATTTATGACTTCTGCTCTTAGCATTTGGGCATTTTTCTTTCAAAAAATCCTCTTCTGGATATCTCAGAGCTGAAGACATACTAGGATCTGTAGCCTGATGTGCCGAATGCAATGGCTGGGGGTAGATTTTTGCAAAGCCATACTTCACACTGGACAATCTGCCATTTTCTTGATTACAGGAAATATGGGACCTTTTGCATCTAGCAGAGCTGGCAGGTTGAATAAAACCAAGCTGACCTTCAGAAACTCCTTTAGCACCTGGGGTGACTCTCTTCTGACATTGCAGTTGAGCATTCAATTCCCCTGAAGCTGGAATGGAATTCTGTCGTTCTTTAATCTCAGCTTCCTTACCTTGCCAGATTTTGTAGCTGCTGTGACTGTTAGTGACAGAGGCGGCAGCTTGCTGCTTCTGAATTCTACATGGAGCTGAAATAGCTCTGAGGGCTTCTGTATTCTGCAGTAGAACTCCAATCGCTTTCTTACTATCGTCAGTCACAACAGAATGCAGATTGGGAAAGAGATTCCGAGAAAGCTGTTTGACGAGCTCTCGATCCCCAAATAGCTTGGCATGAGCCACTTCAGATTTCCTGAGCTTAGTGGTGAATCTGTTGTACAAGATTCTCTGGTCAAGAATTATGGCATTTTCAGCCTGTTTCTTCAGGGAGTTTAGAATCCTAAACTGCTTATTTAACAGGATCTCTTCTTTTTCATTGTAAGAG